ACATGTGTTTTCATATTTCAAGGGGCTTTCATACATCTCCCATACTTGAGGCACTTAAGAACAGCGCCTCCCATAACTGCCACTTTATGTTGCATTTAAGTTTCATGAAGTCATTATGGCATCAGAAAGGACGACTCTGCAAGACTGCAGGTTTGTTCAGATAAGCACTCCATACCACATACTTGGTGGCAGTTTGCACAGCGGTACAGGGAGGCACACACCCCAATATCTTGACATCTGGCTCTTTACAGACTTTCTGCGATCGCATTGAACAGGCATTCTGCAAGCGCCAACTTCTTCGGGTAGAGCTGCTCACACAGGCTGCCAATCCCCACGCACATGACTGGATCTGCTAAAGATGGTATTCGAAAAGGACTGCTGCCAGCATTCACCAGGCAGCTCTACAAACTAACTGTTCTGTGTCAGCGCAATTCGAGTGTGTGGAACAGTCTGAGGGCTGTGTTTTTTTGAGCAAATACTAATTCGGTTGCATTAAGAGACACAATTTTAATAAGGTGAGCAAGAATATATGAAAAATTGGTTTATCTCTGAAAGATCAGTAGTGATAACATGGACTAATAGATTCAGAACTATGCCATGATGTCAAATATTTTTTGCATCTAACAAGTTTTATTCTTCAAGGGACAGGGTTAAAACACAAATCACAAGATGTTATTTCAGGAGCAAGGGAAGTAAGCTTTTTACTGTCTGGTAAATATTACCGGATTACTCATATCATCAAACTGAAAATTATAAAATTCTTCAGTTTCACAATTCCTTTGATTTTAGTGGAAAGACTGTATCAGTATCAACTGCTTGTAAAACAACATGACCAGCTTTCCTTGTTACCTTGTATGTGCAGAAATATCTTAGCTTCTTCATGATTGACAATCAGCTTCTAAAAAGACCTAAAGTCAAATTAACATTTTTTTATAAGTTGTAATTGCAGTTGTTTTATCTGGTGGTTTATATTACCAGTTTAAAAAAAAAAAAAAAAAAAAAAAAAAAGGTGAAAACAAGAAAGATTCATCTCATCACTGAAACAGAAACTACTGCCAGTTATTTGGAACATCACAGATATTCCAGACTTGCACAGAGACCCTCAGCAGAGCCAGGAAGTGTCATTCACAAACAAAACCAATATGACATCATCACACACTTAATTGCTTGCCAGTGACAGGGTCAACTTTGTACAGCTGTTGAGTATCTACTGTTTGCATGTGTGTACTGATATTGCCACTCCAGAACCCACAATCACTCAATGACAACTGACAAAGTTATCCTGAAAACAAACTTATTACTATGCAATTTTAATTCATTATTTTTGAAAGATACTGGATTTTCTAATTAAATCTACTTTTTGAAAAGGACTGTTGTAAATTCCTTTACTGGTCTCCAGGCAATACATGTCATTCTGCTTTCAAGAATATTGTTCTTAACAAGTGTTGACTGTTGGTCAAGTGATCTTTTTAGGAATTAAAAGTGATCTGCTTCAATTCACAGGCCTTTTGGTCAGATAATCACAGATTTGGATATTAGTTTGATGTTTTCTTCTGGCATGTTTCAACAGATAGCTGGTCATAATTTTAGTCAGGGTATTAACTGAACTCTCCACAAACAGACATCCAGATTAGGAGCACTAACCAAGGAGCAAACATTTCCCTTTCTTTTCTTGGAAAGCAAGGATCTACTCACAGTTCTCACTAAAACCAAAATGAGGGAAAACTTTCAGACTATCACTTACAAAGTCTCTCTAGCTTACATATGGTTCTGGGATAACCACTACTGTAGTTGCAGACCTGCCACACAGCACAGCTGGTTGTATCTACCACCACCTTGTCTGTACTAATTTTTCTCTTCACAATTCCCCATCTGAGAAAAAGCAAGTCAGAAGAATTCAAGGTAGAAGTTTCCTAAGACATCAAGAGATGCATGGGCATACATCTACCTACATGGCAGGTTTCATGCTTTTATCAGACTTAAGATTTTAACTGATTTTTTTTTTTTCTCTCTAATTGGGGTAGATAAAAAACAAGTGTTTTGTTAAAGTGACTGTCTCTTTCGATGTTGCATTCAAACTTATAAACATATGCAGGGTGCTCACATCTGCCTTGAAGCTAGCCAGCCAGTATAAAATTTGTTGTCTGTTTAGCTTAATTAGGAGAACAGTCAGCCGTTACTCACAAGGAATGAAAAAAGGTAGCCAAAAGGGTTTTCAAAGAAGTTCATCCTTTACCTTGATGCTTTTAAGCAAATAGGAATTCAACTATCAGCCTGAAATAGCTGAACAAAACAGTTTAAAAAGTAAATATTGAGGGTTAATGAGCAGAGCAAATGATATACTATTTATTTAGATTGTTACTAGCTAACAACAATGCAGATTGAAAGTATGAAGATGTAAAACTCTGAATACCCATTCCTAGTCCTAAAAATGTGTAGACAATATGTCACAGAGAAAAAAAACACTCAGTACACCCTCCCAATTTCACCTGCAGAAGGTGAATCACCTAATGACAATATACAGCGGCAGAACAATCACACACAGCTTTGAGCCCATTTATTGCATTCATTTTGCTTTGCTTTAAGGAATTGTATTAGTCTATTCATTTCTTGTAATAGTAAATTGCTCAGATAACCACGTCAGGCATTGCCTTCAACATGGTATCTCCTGAAGACAGTCTTAAATTTACCTTAATCTTTTTCTGTCAGGGGTAACCACTCTGCCTTAAATGTGAGCTAATGTTGAAAAGCACTGTGTAACCACTAGCTATTACAAGGTAAAGGAGATGAAATCTACAAAAATTAACTAGTGTGCTCCAAAAGAACAACCACCACTATCCAAAAAAAAAAAAAAAAAAAAAAAAAAAAAAAAATCAAGACATTATGAAAGGTAGTCTTCAAAAGAAAAAAAAGTTTTTAGAGCTCAAGCAAATTAGAAGAAAGACGTTAACACAATTTTTAAAAAAGTCTGCCCCTGTTTACTCATTTCCATTAAGTCAATGGAAAATAATGGTAACAAATAGTTCAACATGTTCTATTCAATTTCCTTCTTCTCTATGCTTGTTAATTCAACATAAACTTTTTCCACTCCAGTTTGTGTCAGAAAACTAACAAAATGACAAGGTTCCTTGGAAGAAGAGAGGGGAAAGAAGAAATGAGGTTGCTAAAGTATTGCAAGAAAGGGTGCCAGGAAACAAAAAACACATGCTGCAGATACATAACAGATTTCCAAGAAAAGTATAATTCTTGCACCACTATTGCTAGTGAACAGAGAGTTAATGTGGCACTTCAAAAGCTAAAGACTTAGTGTGTGGCTTACAAGATGACCGTTTTCCAGGTTTCTACCCAAATTTATTTTTACCTTCTCATGCACAAACCAGAATCTGTAGCACTTCATTTTCAAGCAAATATGCAGGCATGTTCTTGATACAAAAGGAATCTAAAATGTTCTCTCCTTGGGTCTTGGAGCAAGATTTGAGCTAGCAGGTTGGTATTATCTGGTCAACTACACTATTTGCTCAATGACACCTTCAGCATTCGTGGAAAATTTATTTTAACTTTGGAAGCCTGATTTTTAAGACTAAATAAAGTATTTATTTTGTTAATATAATTAAAGAGAACAATATGGCAGGGGCCACCTTTTTGAAGGGTGCTCCATTTGAAGGCAAACAGTAAGGAGCAGAAAAGCTGTTCTAAATCTTTACTTAATCGCTAAGAACCAAGAGCAACTGGCAGCTGGATCAAAAGTGCTGACCAACTATTCTCATTTGTTCGTTTCTTTTGCCTCCCTTTTCTGACAATCTGTAGGGAACAGCAGGCATTCAGAGCTTGAAATGCACATTTTGAAGAAATCACAGACATGAGTTTGACAGTCACAAAAGAGTGAAACTTCACTTTCTGAGGTGGTGAATGCTGGGAACAAGCACAGACTGCAAAATCAGCTACAGATGCAGCAAAAAGTATGGCTGCACTTTAGAGCCTATTGTTTATAGGCTTTATAGTCCTCAGGCCTTATGGTTATATACTGTTATTAGAGGACAATGATGTGCAAATAAGGATCAAGAGATCCCTCTAATTTTTTAAAATTATGTTTGATTCAGACCAAATGAATAGGAATCAAAACCTATCCAACATGGGTTTTTATATGCTGTGGTCACCTGTCCTGCTTTCAGGGGCTGTTCCAGAGAAGGACAAGCACTAGGAGACCTGTTACAAAGTAGATGCATCGGTAATTTCAACCCAGTGTCAACATCTAGAGCTTAGAAAACTCTGCTTTCCTCTGACCTGCACTGGGACTGAAGCACACTGACAAGGCAGAGAGGGAACCTCCTCTTATTAGTAGTCTGCACTACAGTAATCAGTTGTACAAAGAGAAAGAAAACTTCACAAAAGTCTTATTGAGCATAATACCATGGAGCTGACTCAGAGTGTGACTCTTCTGTGATGAATTAGTCACTACAAGAGCTGGCAAGTTCATTGTACTTTAATTGCTGTCACTGCAACAGTAGGGTTAATACCTGGCATGACAGCTGATCTGTCTTTGAAAGTCTATGATTATTCTCTCAGAACCAACAGAGAAAGGTGGTTTTGTTAGAACTACAGAGTTTTAGCATGTCTTCCTATCTGCCAGTTATCTTCTCAAACACAGGTGTACCAATCTGCACCATTTATGATTTGGTTTGTTTCTTCTCTATGTATCTTCTTTGCATTGTGTTAATGCAAAGAGCTATAACTTGGGAATTTTGGTCATGAAGCCCAGCTCCGCAAAAAAAAATATTTAAAAATCAACATTGAGTAAGGAAGTCTTTTCAGGTCCCAGAACCAGTATGCAACAATTGTAAACCTTTGAGTCAGTTTTGAACCAGGGACCTTCAATTATGTTCCTCCAACCCCTGTAACAGTAATATCACCACAGCTTATTTCAAACAGTATGCTCAGCATTTGCCTTTTCAATCACAGACGTTTTTTACACCTGTGTTAATGGAGAAACCTTTCCTCACCTTTAATGTGGCAGCCAAGCTGGCCATGTGTTCATTCAGAGTGCTCTCCGACTCCTTGTAAGTCAGGCAGGTGAACTGATATTCCTCTGGATCAAAGGCATCTGCTCCCTGCTGCTCCACGTCGTTAGCTACCCCATCATAATAATCCTCAATATCCCCAGGATCCTCATCCTCTTCCTCTTCTTCGTCGCAATTAGGGTCATAATCCTCTTCATTGCTGTCAGAGCCCTGGCTGTTCATGTCCACAGACATCTTAATGCCCTGTCAAACTGCAGACCAGGAAAGCAATTGCAGCTTCTTTTTCTCCTCCAAACTTTATCGTTCTTTTGATTTCATCTGAGCAATGTCTCCTAAGGGGGGAAAAACAATTTTTTCTGTTGCCTAAGAAATTGTAAAAGAGGCCATGTCAACATCATACAGGTGACCAAACAGCCACAAACAGACCAACAGGCCCAGCTAAAGAAGATTCTGCTGTGCAGGTCCCTGGTTTGGATCCACTGCAACTCTTGCACCTGTAGAGCAAAAGCTGCTCTAACAGATGAGGTCTAAAACCTCAGAGATTAGCTCATTACATTTCATCCTAGCCCCCAGTGTGGGCCCCGAGACTTTTGACATTTGTAAAGTGGCTGCATAACCTTCACTACAGATTTTTTCAGAGATACAACTAAACTTATGACACTAAGTTTTTACTAACAGCCTTAAGTGCTGCAGAAAAATATCGTATCCATTTCACCAACAGGAAAAAACGCAAACCCCTTAACTGTGACCACAGTAGCTAGAAAGGCAACCTGTGATACCCTGTACGAGTCCAAATTGCTTCAGAACCACAACCATTAAGTGGGACTTTGGAAAATAAGACAAGCAAACAGATCTCTCACATACACTCAATTTAACATCTTCAATAACATCTCAAAAGAAATGGTGAAATTTGTTAATCCCTTTAAGTAGGTTCTACTGGATGTGATGTGGCTTGGGCCTTACAGCTGAGGGGGGGAAAATAAAATGAATTCTCTCATTTTATTACCTTCTCAATATACATTTATTACCTTCTGAATGTAGAAATTTATGCTCAAGTGTTGACAGCTGCTATTCAAGAAGAATCAGAACAGCCAATTTTTGGGGTTTTAGCTTCTCACTGGTATTGAGAAATTCACATATTTGACTTTACCTACCTGAACTACAAACCTTCTGCTTGTGTAACTAAACTGCATGAATTTGAGTTCTAAGAGGTTCAACAGCAGAGCACATATCAAACTTGAATTACGGTCATCTCATATTTAGTCACAAATTTCCATTTAACCAAATAATTTAGTTTCAAGTGAGAAGATGTTAAATACAAAAGACTTAAACCAATGCTGCAATCAAATTTTACACAGAGATATATACATAAAATCAAAGCTATATTTTCCACAAGCAGCATATATCGAGTTTCTTATACATGTTTGCATTTTGCATTACTATATTGTTAGCTCTGTTACTCAAATATATACCCACAGTATCACAATTTGTAGCTTCTGAGGAAACCGCAATCATGCTTTCAGAATCGTGACTTTAGAGCACAGGAAGCCTCAACCATAAATTTTCATTATTTTTCCCTCAACTTGTTTGTTTTCTGTTTCCAGTAACCTGACCAAGCAGCACAGTATAACCAGGAAGAGATGTGATGTACAGTTAATTTGAAGGGCTGCAGTGATTTCAGCAGATACAAGCCTCCAGGGAGAGGATGAAGGCTAGCAGCTAATTACATTATCCCCTGAATTCTGGTCTCCATTCCTTTAATTTGTCTCTTGATTCCTTAGCTATTCACAACATAAGTAGCACACAAACATTTTATAACACCGCTTCCCATAGAATCTCAGAGGAGCAGAGGTACCATCTCTCCATACTGGAAGGAGGCAGATGTGAAATCTGATTTGACAGACACAAGGCAAACCTCTATATATTGTCCCTCCCTCTACCCTGCTTAGACTTAATGATTCCATTCTGGGCTTAATCTGTATCAACACTGACCTCTTGCATAAAAGAACTAATGGATCCTTACCTCTTAAACTTTATGCTAAAGGAATAACTTATTTGAGAATCTAAACCCAGTGGGAGCATTCCCACAAAGATTCAGTAGCCCAGAGTGCAACACCTTCATCCAGACAGCCTCAGAGCATCACAAAGCCTGAGCAAGTTTCACCAGTCAGGGAACTTAAGCTCACTCAGATCATCCCACATTCTAGAGAAGAAAAACAAAACAAAACACAACACTGGGTCCATTTGCTATCTCAACACATAGTGAGTCTTGTCCAAGCAATGAGATTTTTTAGATATCCAAGTAGAATAATGGGCCTGCCCAGTACCTCAGGAGTTACATAGCAGTCTCTGGGGAGGAGGCTGAGAAGAGTGCAGAGCCATTTCTCTGTGCCACTAACACACTTATTTGAACAAATAGAGGAACTGTTTGCATGGGCAAATGGGATATATCAAGCAGAAAACAGTCTGCAGACTGGATGACTTTTGTGACTCTTGTCACAACGTTCTAGGAAAGAGCTCACTTCCAGCATAACTGAACGTCACACGGACATGTGTGAAGAGAGAGGAAAGTTAAGGCACAAGCTCTGTGGACAAAGCAAAGTAGGGTACTAGGAAAATGAGGAACAGAACTCACCTAACCCTTCACAACCAAATCGCAAGCTCTCAATACAAACTAAGACAAGACACAGCTAATACTGGATAGCACTAGTTTTTAAAACAATAAAGATGCTAAACTCAAAGAAAGGGGGTCAAAAAAGCAAAGAGTATTTAGATTAAATAATTACCATAATCCTCAAAATCAGATTATAAAGTTTAAAACCATATTTAGCTCCCTTTCCTACCCAATGGAGGAGTCTTTACCATCTTCATCCAAGATACTCCCTCATCTTCACTAACACTGATACAATTTAATCCCCTCTCTCCCACCAGCCTCCTTGCAGGAACTTGTAAACACACCCATCCCTACGCTCTGCCACATGTTGGCTCCAGCAGAGATGCCCTCTTGCTGTCTCCTGCTTTGCAACACAATTCTTCTTAACAAGGTCTTTCGAAACAAAACGGCCTCAAATATGCCTCCATCAGTCTCCCTCTCATCTCACCACTGTCAGACACATTAGCCCACCTCATACCTTGTCCTACTACATATTTTTTTTATTTGTTGCCTTCTGTATCTATCTCTGGAGGATTTCTCTAGTAAGTACTTTGTAAGATACTCCTACTTTTTCCACTGATACTTCACATCCGAGATAGCTGTTTCCTCTCTCACCTCTTTATTGATAATTCTAAAATAGAGAAAGCCTAACTCATCTGTCTCCTGAACTACTTATCCCTGTAAACTTCAAATGGGCTGACACTCTCTTTTCTCTGCAACCATCTACAACCCCAACTCCACACTTGCTATCGATGTTAATCGCATCTGTGTCACTCAAACCTGTAATCCGTGGATCATCCTCAATTGCTTCTTCACACACGCAGCACACATACCTTGCCATTTCCTTCTCCACTGAGTTTTTCAATAGGGTTCTTCATCCCAAGAGTGAGAAACGAGAACATCCCCCATCCTGTTCACCACAGACGACTCTGCAGTGACCTCCCCGCAGCCATATCACACATCCCCCATGTATCTGCATGCTCTCCTCCCACTTCCCAGTCTTTGTTCATACTATCACGACTGCTTTGTTCTCTCCAACTCATCTCATCTGTTCCGCTCCTGTCCTTTCTAATCCATCATTACTTTTAACAAGTTATTTGATGCATAACTATGCAAGCCTTCCTTCCACAGTAACCTGGGCCTGGGCAGAAAAGTACCCAGCTCATTTCAATTATCTCAGGTCCATTTCTTTTGTAATCCTTGCAAAACTAAATCCTGTACTTGTCCCACACAGCCCAAACACCGGAGGAAAGCCCAGGAAAACTGGGGGAGAGCAGGGAGCTGTGGCGGAAGAGCCCGAAGGGCGGCGGGACGAGGAGGGAGCCCCAGCACGGCCCACTCATAGCCCGTGCCCGGCGCCGGCCCACGGCTCGCAGCTTCTCCCACGGGCAGCCCGACCCCGGTACCGGCACCAGTACCGGGGCGGAGCGCTGCCGGGAGTTAGAGAGAAGCGGCGCCGCGTCCCTCACGCCGGGTTCGCTCCGCCCCGGGCCCCACCGCCTCCCGCTGAGGGACACGGGCCCAGCAGGAGGCGGCAGCGCTCACTGGGCGCCCCCGGCTCCCGCCCCACCGGGAGACCCCCACCGCCGCCGCCGCCTCCACCCGCGGCGCGGCCCCCCCTGCACTTACCGGGCGCCGCGGACCGCGGCCGGGCGGCACCGGGGGGGGGGGGGGGGGGGGGGGCAGGGAGCAGCACCCCGGGCTCCTCCTGCCCGGCCGCCACTGCCTGCGCGCCGGAAGCACCGGCCTCCGCCTGGCGTCACTTCCGCCGGGCGGGGCCGGTGCCGCCGGGCCGGGCCGGGCCGCACCACTGCGCGGGGATGGGGGGGGCGAGGGTGGGTGTCGGGGCGGTGACGCGGGACCGCCCCGGGGCGCCGGCTCAGCCCCCGCAGAAGGCGCCGGCGGCCCGGCGGTCCGGCCCCGGCCGGTGCTCACGCTGGAAGGCAGCGCCCGGCACGGCGGCGAGGGAAGGGCCCGCCGCCGCCACCACCCCCGCGGGCAGCGGCCGCCGCTCTCCCGGCCTGCCCCGGTATCCCGGCGTGCCGCGCGGCCCGGCACTGGGGTAAAGGTCGCGGGGCGGAGGGGGCGGCACTGGCTCGGCGGGGACGCAGCGCCCCGGCCCCGCTCTTCACCCGCCGCTGCCGCCATGGCGGAGCAGCCGCAGCCTGTCAGCCCCGTGAAGAACTTCTTCGCGGGCGGCTTCGGGGGCGTCTGCCTGGTGTTCGTGGGGCACCCACTAGACACCATCAAGGTGAGGCGCCCGGGGCCCGGCGGGGCGGGGCCGCCGGGGGAGGACTACGTTTCCCGGCGGGCACTGCGCGGGGAACGGCGGGGCGTCCCGGCGTGCACCGCGGGGGGGGGGGGCGGGGCTTAACGCCCCGAGGTGCCGCGCGGGGCAGGCCGGCCGTGCGGCGGGGCGCCCCCTGTCGGCGCGGCGGCCGCCGGTTCCCGGCCTCGGCCGGTTTATGGCAAAAATCAAAAAAAAAGGGTCCGTGTTCCTGGGGTGGGGGGGAACGGCGGTACAGCGAGTGTGTAGGGCAGCTCAGCAGTGCCACGGCATTAGCTCCCAGGTGTTAAGGCGGGGTTGTTACCCTGACATTATACCCGCAATTAATTAGTTAAATAGATTAACTATTCCATGCATTAAAATTCAATTTATTATTTTCTGCTAAGGGCTAAAATGGTGTTAATCTCTACCAACATTGTAAAGTCTGATCACAAAACTTACTCCATAATAGTCATACAGAGGTGTTCTCTGAATCAAAGTTTAAATAGTAATATTTAATAAAATAATGCTTTCCTATCCCGTCTTACCAGGTCAGACTGCAAACCCAGCCTAAGCCACAGCCTGGTCAGCCCCCGCTCTATTCTGGGACCTTTGACTGCTTCAGAAAGACTCTTGTTGGAGAGGTACTTGTGTTAGCGTGTCATCTGTGATGCCTGCCAGAAAATATCAGTTGTTCTTGTACGTTGCAGGAGGGAATCGTGTGGGAATGTTGCCCCCCAGAGACTCTACAATTCTTACGTTATCAGTTGAATTGCTTCTAATTAAAATTTTTAAGCAGATTACGAAATTTGGGGAATACTTAGCATCCATACGTTCCAGGTGCATGTCTCTGTTTTGTTACGAAATGCTTTTGGTTCAAAATAGTGTGATACCAATATCCAAAGCCATCTATGAGAAGGTAGAGGAACATTAATAGATTTTTTTTTTTTTTTTCAAACAGGGGTCAGTTATAGTAGTTTTGTTCAATCTTATTCAGAAGGTGGACAATGATTTTCACTCCTGAATCAGCCCCATCATGTAAGCCTTGGTTTAAAAACTTTAAGTGACATAGAATCCAGTTTTCTGCTTCAGAAGTTTTCCCAGCAGGTATTTACCATTTGGAAACAATGGCTGTAAAGCCCAGCTGTTTGTTTACTAGTCTAAAGTCTAATTTCTAACCACTGGAGCTTGTTAGGTAACTCTCTGTTAAATGAAAGAGATGCCTCATATCTGAAATCTCCTTTCATTATGGTATTAACTGGTTGTTACATAACCAAAGTAAATCTTGGTTCCCTAGTCTCTCCCACAAAGCGCTGAAGTGCTTTGCTAGCTCTGAATCCCTTGAGGTTTTTAACACCCCTGCTGAAGCACGGACGTCAGAGCTGAACAATAATAATAGCCTTGTGATGTGAAGTTCAAAAGTAATTCTGTCTCTCTACTCCTACTCAATACTCATCAGTTTCTATAAGGAAAACTATTAAACCTCTCTGCCAAGGCCTTTTGTTTCCCACTTCTCATGGGAAGATTGAGCAGGAGTGTCTGATCTTTGTCAGCCAGACTCATAACCGAGTCAGTTGTGCCTGTGAGCATACAGACACATACTGAGATACGCTACTTTATTTGGAGGGGTGAAGGACGGGGCAGACGGACCAGCAGATATTTAATTTGTGCATCTGGCTTTTATCTAGAAAGATAACTCTCCTTTTTATTAGAAAAAGTTCAGTTCAAAGGCAAGATGAAATAAATGCTACTGCTGGGGTCTGCATTAGAATTTTTCCATGAGTGTAGTCTGATGAAGGGAAGTGTCAGGAATGTAAAGTTGTATGGTGAAAGAGTTTTGACTGAGGAAAGGAAAGATAAAAGTAACTTGCTCTTGAACTCATTCCAAACTGAGTTTGTGTAGGGAGTGAAGCAGTTAAGGTTAGTCTCCCTGGCTCTTCCTTTATCTAAAGAGTGAATTTGAATCAGCGTTCTCAGGCTCAGTGTCAAGATTTTACACTCCTGCATTTGATGACTTATTAATAAAGCACATGTATGTTTTTGTATGTGTCTTGAGAGAGAAGACTTTTGACATAATCTGTTAGGACTATTAATCAGGTGGCTTTTAACTTCTTCATACTCGAGATGTAAGTACAGGATGAACAGTATGGAAGCAGGAGGGTATAAGCGATGCCAGTGTTTTCCAGGAAGGACTTCTTTCCTCTGCAACAGGCCCTGAGCCTCAACAAAACATGTATAATTGCAAATGAACAATAGACCTCATTATTCCTCTGATTAATTTGACTGTCTGCCTGATACTATCCTGTATTGTAGCCTTTTGTTTCTCAGTAAGTTGAAATGTGTGCAAAGTCTATGCAAACCCAAGTAATTCTTGTGGTAACGTTTCTTGCAGGGAGTCCGAGGCTTATACAGAGGAATGGCAGCTCCTATTATTGGAGTGACACCCATGTTTGCTGTGTGTTTCTTTGGATTTGGCTTGGGAAAAAGGCTCCAACAGAGAAAACCTGATGATGTTTTGACGTGAGTTTCTGAGATAATCAGACAGTTGGGAAAGGTACCCTAAGGCTCTTGCAGCCTGCTGTATTGTCACACACTGAGTTGTGGTGTAAATTTGTCTATTCTCCTAGGTTATAAATATAGTTCTAAAAAATAAAACACTCATGTGTTTTAATGTTTCTGGAAGCGTGGGACTGATAGCACAGGCTAAAAACAGACAGCATGTGGGCAGGTGCTGTGCAATTCCCTTTCTACGCAAGGAAGAGCCATTAAGGAACAATTCCGTTTTAGATGAGTACAGTGTGAGTTATATAATGATTGCCTGCCAACAGTCTTGCTATTAATAGAAACTATGGGAGAAATAAATTCATGGTCAAGCAGTCTTGACAACATTCATAGTCCTAATTCACTTTTCCCTGTTAGTTGTGACTCTTCTTGTGTCCTTACGTTAGGATATAATAATAGCCATAGAAATGTTTTATTATTAATTTCTGCACCGAGGTGTTTATGAGCAGCCCTCCTCTTGGACTTGTCTAATCTTCTGGAAAAGAGATGGGAAGCTAAGAAAATTGGGCGTGGCTTTCTACAAGCTAAATTATGCATGAAGAAAGCCCCCCACCCATAAAGTACCCCTTTAACTTCTTTGCTGAGTTGTGATTTATAGCTCTACAGGAACAAACCTGTAGCTTAGCAACATTTTGTTCTATTATTTGCGCGATATGTAGGCGCCCTGTCAAAAAGCTGGAGTCCAGCATGGTGGAGTGGGGAGGTGCAGTTTCTGTTGGAGCCCTGCGTGCCCAGGGGCTGCCCAGTGTACCCAGTGCACCTGGCTGTGCAGCACTAGCCACTGTCACGACATGGAGCGAGCTCCCTCTGCGCAGATTGCTCAGGGAGATGCAGTGCTGAGGTGTTGGGGCACTGCTAGCTTACCCTCGGGTTTACCACAGTAGTGCCCTCATGCAGACGAGGCTGAAGGGTAAGACCAGGGGAGCAGTAAGGAGTGGAGAATGCAGGGAAACAAATGGGCTGTGGGCTTATTTCCAGCAGCCTTATCACCTCGGTGCCTTGTGTTTTGTACACATCATACCACAGGGAAGTTTTGAGGAACAAGCTGGAGTAGGGCAGCGTAGTTTTTTGAGTCTTCATGCAGAACTCCTCCCAAGCAGAGCAGCAGGAGAGAAAGAACAAGGGTCAGCAAATATATGGTGGAACTGTCAGAGTGCCCAATTGTCCTGTACCTTAGGTGCAGACTTTACACAGTAAGATACAGTGTGCCTGGGATGTGAGGCCCAGAAAGAAAGGTCAGACTATTAACACCATGGTTATGGGTCTAGAGGCAGGCAGAATAGTAGTGGTTCCCCATGTTGATTTTTAAGGGAAGTTTCGGAAAGAAGGAGATGGGGAGAAAATTGAGGAGCCTGTTCTAGCTTTTCTGGAGATGAATAATTCCAAAGTGAGTTAGAAAAATCAAAGCTTAGTTTGAGCAGGAAGTGAACGTGGAGTGGTGAGGGAGGTCTGAATCTGGATCTGGAAGATTTAATGGGAAATTAAGAGTAAAGAAAGGTATAAGAATTCAAAAATCCGAATAGAATGCCATCTCTTGGGCAAGTGGAGAGAAGTGAGAGGTCTAGAATTTAATTAAATTGAGATATTAGGTTGTCTTACTAGAGAACATAGCAGAATGTTGGATGTGAAAATAAGTTTATGATGGAGAAACTTGGTCTGTTAAATGGATTTCTGTCATGGAGACTGCCACATGAAAGCAGGTGCAGAATGTATGGCCTGATGTCAGGTTGGTAGGACAGACTGGATGATGGCAGAGGCTGAGGGACTGAGAGGTTAGAGAAAGGAGGTGTCTGGCTGCACAAACCGGAATATGCACAGAATCTGGGGTCACTGAGAAGAGTGGGAGACTGGAGGAGGAAGAGACTGTTAAGTATAAAAATCAGTGGGGAATGCTGTAGCAAAAAAGTGCAAGTACAAG